CCAAAACGGAACTTAAACAATACATATACGGAAGCAGAAATGCTCAAAAACTACGCATGTATAGCTGTTAACCTTGGCATCTCTACCAAAAATTTTTCTTCCAAACCCACCATTGTTTGTCTGATACTTCAGTCTGTCGTCTCTCAACTCCCTTCCGACAACCGTGAACCCCACTTGGGTGCGCCCTTGCGTGCGGTTTTAGTTCAAGTTCATTGAAGCTGCGCTTCGTTTCGCTTCATTGCTGATTTCGCTCTGCCGTATCCTTTATCAAAGTTTGCCCTTTTGCAGTTACCACTCATTATTTGTATTTTCCATTTTGCTCACTTCTCATTTCCCTATTTTTCTCACTCATATTTCTTTCTTTGCCTGACTGCGTGTCACTCCATTGGTTGCATAGCAGTTCGCTTCGATTTTATTTGCTATCGCTTTATTAAATTACACGCTGAATATATTTTCTATACTTTGATTTTGGGTTTGCAAGTGTACGTAGAAGTTTTCTTTACTGTCTACCCCCTCAATGTTAATGTTTCTCCCCTCATTTCATTCCATGTTAGCTCATCGTTCGTTTACTTTCTTCTATTTACTTCTATTTTTTATTGAAATTCACTTTATGTTTATTGACATCACAAAAACGCATAACTCTTGAGAAACTGCACACCGAACGTTACACACCAAAACGTCTTCACCCCTTCTTCATACTTTGCATTTGCCAAAAAAAAAGCAAAGCAAAGACGTTGTTTTGTACAATATCCGCTTCTTATAATGTGAATAAATAGTCAGCTTTGATTCTACGCCACAATTTTGTCTGCCAATGGGTTTATTTTTTTGTCGTCGCCTGAGCCTTTGGCGTAATCGGAAACCGCGCTTGACTTTTCCTTCGGCGACTGAGGCAGTAACAGCACTAATACAGTTCATAAATGCCGTTGCATTCGTGTCCATTGTTGCTGTTGTTAGTGGCAGATTAAACTGCGAATTTGTTTCCCTTTGATTTATGAGCTCTGTGGCTTTTCGCAAGTGGTTTTGACTCCGTATCAAATCCTTCAATTTCCATTCAGTTTGCTTTGATGTCAAATTTTGTTAGTTTCATAACGAATGTACATACGCAGAGAAGAAAGGGACGAGCAGACATATCCACATAAAAATACTTCGAATATTTGTGGTTTTTTGTTGAATAAATATATTTTCGTGAATCCATTTGAATCATTTGCAAAATGAGCAACCACAAAGACTAAAAAACAAAACAAAAAAATTTGCATTTGTTGTTAAGCAAATTGATATAAATTTATGGGTACTTCGAAAAGTGGAAAAACAATCCATGTAATAAATTTGTGGCCTCAAGTGAATAGCGCTTTTAAGAGTAATTTAATTATCAGTAAAAAGGCAACTATAAGCAAGCTACTTTGCTGGGCAAATCACGCGGAATTTTTGTATACCAGACATTGGTTTTTTCTAACTTACACAAGTGGTAACTCTCGCTTATCGTGCATATACCAATCTCTGAATACGAAGCCACCCCTCGCTTAAGACAGGAAGACGCACTTCTGACGACATCGTTTTTAAAAGTACACTCAAACGCGGAAATGCAAGCGCCTTTTCAACGTATTTTATTGTTAAATTGCGAAAATCGGTTTCGAAAAATAATTTCGACTTGCTCGTGCTGCGCCAACAATTTTCATTTATGCTGAAAGACCTGTCAAAAATACTTGTAATTTATTTAATTTCCTTAAATTTCCGGATCAGGGATCCACGAGAGACTCGACGGGCTATACGTTAGAATGACAAATATCGGGGTTTATAAGTGGTGAGTGGGGTGCCACCAATATGTTTCTATCCAAAAAAGGCATCTTGGCTAAAACTTTTGTGGCGCTACGGCTCCATGTAATCCTAACAGATAGTGCGAAACATAATTTTGCAAGAATGAGAAAAATTGTTTTAGTTAAGCCGGCAATAAATTGTAATTACCTACTTTGTGAGTTAAAAAATAAGGATCTCTTTCAACTTACCTCACCTTCCTTTCCACTCAAAATATTACTCCTCATTAAAAAGCGTTCTGTCTCTTTTGCTTATCTAGCTTTCATCACTCAGTAGGTTTAATCGTTAATAAACTCGTTAAATCAGCAGGAAGCGCTCATTGCGCAATAATTTTATTTACACTGAGCAATCATTTCTCATCGATTTTTGTAGATTCGGTATTTTTTCTATTGATAGTTTCTGATATAGGGCGTTCTTGAGAAGTTTTCTGATATAGGGCGTTTTCGAACTGGCTGCCAAGATAGGTCGATCTTCCACTCAGGTGTCGAAATATGACTTGTATTTTCTTACTACGAAGATATGTAGGGCAGGCGTATAAAAAATTAATAAATGTGTGTGAAATGTATTTCGTCGCCCTTATGCTAGAAGCAGGAATGCGCAAATTTATCAATTTTGCATTATTGGGTTGACTTGATTAACCTTTGGATGTTATACGAAAATCCAGAATACCATGCGTACACGGAAACCACATATTTCACAATGTCATTTAAATGAATGCAAAGTTAAAAGCATGTTCACATTATCGTAATTTACGGCTCATTTGTGATTTATAAGCAAATCATGCTGAAATCAAATAATTTCGCTTTGTATAACCTGTCAATAGATAAATAAAAAGATATAAAATAATTTATCAAACCAAGAACCAAATGAATAAAAAAAGATGTTTTCATTTATTTTAGCCCCCACTGTTGAGGAAATTTTAAGAAACGCCTAAAGGTTTATAGCGATTTGTTTTTTGAAATCAAGTGCAAACCACACACTCGTACGTACATGTGCTAATCACATATCTATAGAAATTATGAAAGAAAATGTCAAAATACTTGGTTTATGTGAAGTAATTTAATCGAAACAAAGTAATTTATTCTGTAATGAGAACACAGTTTAAGTCTCTTCAAAAAATTTAAACTTGATTTTCCACATGGTGTAATAATAACAAGGTGTTGTCAGTAACTTAACCGCACTTTTTCGGTAGGTCTATTCCGGTCACGCATTTTAAAGTAGTAGAAAAGGTACTAATTATTTACTGCTTTCAATCCGTTGGTGCATACTATTTCAAATTAAATGTATAAAAATGTATAATTACTGGCTTATAAGCCTGAATATATGTTTGTATTGGCAGCTCTACACAGCTTGGACTTATATTGTAACTTAAAAAAAGTAAAGGCAGTAAAATAAGGCAATTTCCTATAAGACTGTAAGTGACTTTTTTAATATCGGTAATATAAGCGAAATCGTAATTTAACCATGCTGCCACTCTATTCTAGAGTATCAGTAGTCCATTTGGCTCAATATTATGACAATGCAGCAAAAATTATTTAATATAGAAAATCGCCATTCCATACAATTTTTGGGTACGCCTTTTTCCAATGATAACCACGATATCCTTTCAATTCAATGGCATGCCCCGTTTTACCAGATTAGCTCCGGGTTTCGAGATAACGGTACTTGAAAATTTGATTAACTTTTTACTATTTTATAAATAACTCCCTCAGTTTTGAAGTTATTTTGCTAAAATTTTGCACATAACAGTTTTTTAATATTACCTTAATTATTCCTTAAAATTATCGGAATATGTTCACATTAACATATAGCGCTATATATATATATATATTTGCGCTATAACTCTAACTTCATATCTGAATAATAAATTGTATGGGTGCTATATGTTAAATTGAACCTATACTAAATTTTGACCTGTTTAATTGGAGGAGTTATAACGCAAAACAACGTCTCTGATCAATCAGTTGTTTGGGAGCTACATGTTTCAGTGAACCGATTTCGATAATTTTATGGAATAGTTGAGGTAATATTAAAAAAAACGGTTATGTGCAAAATTTTAGTAAAATATCTTCAAAACTCATGGGGTTTTTTTTATAAAATAGTTAAAATTTAAGCAAAGTTTCAAGTACCGCTATCTCGAAAAGTGGAGCCAACAGGGTAAAACTGAGGACGCCATTGAATTTAGAAGGCTCCAATTAAGTAAGAGCAACTATCAGAACATTTGTCGAATGCTGCTTTGATACCACTCTCGAAATATTCCGGCTAAAAGAAGGAGCATCATTAAATCAGGGTTTTTACACACTTATATATATAAATTTTTTTGAAGCATTTTACAGGTATATGTAATTTTATAAGGACTAGCAGTTATAGAAGGATTTAGATCGTTTCGACGTATTTTCCAAATGTGCCTTCAATAAAGGTGTTTTTGAAATAAAAATTACACTCAAGATCGCAGAATATTTTATCTTTAAAAGTTGGTTTATTCTGAAAGCACACCTCTTGCTAAGGTGTCAAATTATTCGTAATTGTTTGTAAAATATAAAATACATACTTAAAAAGTTCTTAAACTTAAATGCTTCATAATCTATACGCGATAAACCGAAAATTTTGAAAATTGTGAGATGTGGAGTTACAGACTTTGAGTTACTTGCCATTTCGTTATTTTTTAATGCACAATTTTCTCACCTACTACATATGAAGTGTACCCATAAGTGCTAAATACCCATTTAATTTCAAATCATAATATGGTGTGCTTCAAAAGTTATGACATAATTAATTGTGCCCCTTGTAAAAATTACATAAAAAATTCACTTGTTTTCATTCGTTTTTTTAATTTAAGCACCTATATTTAAAAAGTTAGGCAGAAAATTGATCCACATTTTTTTTTGAGGCTTCAAGTATACGTCAATGAGTTATATCCAAAAGCAACCAGCTTCATTTAGTTTACAACAGTGAAAATAAAGCTAAACAACACAAAGGTTACCTGTTTTTTAGATTTGCCCATATGTATTTAGGTAGTTGTTTTCCAACTTTTATAAAATTCGTTAATTTTTCATAATTCTGAGCGTTTCCCCAGCAGACCACAACTGTTTTTATGCTCACCATCACTCCTTTGAATGTTTCTTTACGGATATTTCAGCACGGCTAAATAAAACATAATTTTTGTTGTTGTTGCTTCTAATCCACAGGGTGGTCGTGTTCGCTTCACCTCGAATCGTGAGAGTGTTGGTGTAATTTCATTAAGATCCGCCGGAGATATTTCACTGCCACAACGAGGACCGCCCAGGCGTGGGCTTATCGTGCCACAGCAGCCGCCAAATCCACCGACAATAATACCGTTAACACACGCCAGGTAAGTTTACATACATATGTATAAGCATAAGTATGTAAATACTTTAGGCAAAAATTTTTGTACATTCATATCTTTCTGTAAGTATGTATCTGGGCATTGAGAAAGAGTTTAAAGCTACGCACAACGAGTACAAAATAACATGAAGACTTTGAAAGGGTTTCTATTGTATTTTGTGGGCTGTATATGGTTTTCTTATTATTGCTTTAGCTGCTGTTGAAAAAGCTACTAACTGCTTTAGTCAACACATTAATAATAAATATGGCTGCGATAGGCCAAAGAGCTACTCACAAAACATTCACATTCAGATAAAATATACGCGTATGTGTTCTGCTTTTGAAAATGGTGCAAGTAAACCCAGCAGAGTATGAGCAAGACACCACAGATTTATTAAATTCCCAGTTTAAAACGAATGACATTATTCAGATTTGGCAAATGGGCAGTGAACCCATTGAAAAAACAGGCTAAGCGGTAAGCGAACTTTTCTGTCAATAGAATTTGTAGTACAAGCTCGTTAAAATTTTCAACGACCTTGAAGATGACTTTGCTTTTTCGCTAAAATTTTCAAAACCTCTGAATACTTAACTAAGTAGGTAGGCTGCGGCGAGTTTATCAAGGTGATAAATTGTGTAGAAAATCTCACGAAAATTTCGGATATAAAATTTTACTAATTCCACAGCTCCTTCACTCAAATACTGCTGGGAAGGAAACACCTAAAGTTAGGAAAATACAGGCCGATACGAATATAAAAAGGTGCCAGATAAATACAACACAAATTCTGCAGATCGGCTTTATATTTTACCGTTTGAGGATAATACTACAGCAATTTACAATAAAGCCAGAAAAGTTGAATACGGGAAACGTAGGACGAGTGCTAAATATGTATGTATATGTATGTATGTACGTACACGCTATCAATTTATTGCCCACCAATAAATACTGTGAGCGGTCTTAGAAAGAAAAGCAGCTAACAATAAGTGACCAATATGAATTTAAGGCCAAAGGTGCTAAAATGTTAAAAGGCAGTGAACATGCATACATATACATATATGAATGAAAATTACGATTTTTAATATGAAATGAACAAAATTTTAAATCGTAAATTTTTTAGCTTTGTTATCATTAAAATTTACCAGAGTTGCCAATATTGTGCATCACGTTTGTATTGACTTCATTTTATTTGTTTGCCCTTAAAATACATATCGTCGTTTAAAGTACAAAACCACGTATCGTCATTCTGCAAAACCGCGTAACTGACATTGGCTGCCAATAATTGTATTTGCTGACACAAGTTCTTGGCTCAATCGTTATCCATTCGTCCTGAAATATGCTATCCAGATATGCGATTTCTTTATAAAAAAGGGAACCATTTTGAAATATGAGTGTTTTTACTCTCTAAAAAATAATTTATGCAACCTCACATACGTGGTTTTGCATTTTGCTGATACGCGGTTTTGCATTTTGTTGATCCGCGGTTTTGCACTTTAAACGACGATATATATTTAAGCCGTTCTTTAGAGAAAGTATTAACAAATGGCTAATTAATATCACAATGCCACAAAAAGTTTCCTCATGGGAAATTTTAGCCACTAATGATTCTACATGTTCCCTCAAGCACGGAAAGTTGTGGAGAAGAAGAACCCGAGCCCGCAGTCGATGATGACGGAGCCGACGTTCCACCGCCTGACTATGACGAGGTACGTGGCGGAGACAGCCTGCCAGCTGAGCTATTCAAGTACGGCGGCGAGGAGTTGATAAGGTGCATGCATCACCTCTTGGGCAGAATATGGTCAGATTAACGCATGCTCGACGACTGGAATTTAAGTGCGCTCTGCCCAATCCACAAGAAAGGTGATCCCGCCATTCGCGCCAACTTACGCGGGATCAGCCTTCTAAGCATAGGCTACAAGGTCTTATCGAGCGTATTGTGTGGAAGACTGAAGCCCACCGTCAATGAACTTATTGGGCCTTATCAGTGTGGCTTTAGATCTGGTAAATCCACCATATACCAGGTATTCCAAATCTTGGAAAAGACCCACGAGAAATGGATCGACACTCACCACCTATTTGTCGACTTTAAAGCCGCTTTTAACAGCACTAAAAGGAGTTGCCTATGCGCCGCTATGTCTGAATTTGGCATGCCCTCAAAACTCACACGGCTGTGTAAAATGACGTTGAGAAATACCACCAGCTCCGTCAGAATTGGGAAAGACCTATCCGAGCCGTTCGCCACAAAACGGGGTTTCAGACAGGGCGACTCCCTTTCATGTGTCTTTTTTAATCTGATGTTGGAGAAGATAATAAGAGCCGCAAAACTGAACTGCTCAAGAACAATTTACTACAAGAGCGTGCAATTGCTGGCTTATGCCGATGACATCGACATCATCGGTAACAAAAACCGCGAAGCCTGTTCTGCCTTTTCCAAGTAAAGCGAATGGGTCTGGTGGTAAACGAGGACAAGACGAAGTATCTCCTGTCATCAAACAAACAGTCAGCACATTTGTGCCTTGGCACCCACGTCACTGTTTACAGTTACAATTTCGAGAAAGTAGGGAATTTCGTTTACTTGGGAACCAGCATTAACACCAATAATAATGTCAGCAAGGAAATCCAACGCATAATCGCTCTAGCCAGCATGTGCTACTTTGGCCTAAGTAGGCAATTCAGGAGTAAAGTCCTCTCGACGTACGAAAACCACGTTCTATAAGTCACTCATCCTGCCCGTGCTGGTATATTGCGCAGAAGCATGGACAATGACAACCGCCTCACGGGGCTCTTGGATTGTTTGAGAGAAAGATTTTGCGGGAGATTTACGGGCCTTTACGCGTTGGCGACGGCGAGTACCGCAGACGATGGAACGATGAGCTGTATGAGCTTTACAACGATATGGACATAGTGCAGCGAATTAAAATACAGCGGCTCCGCTGGCTTGGCCATGTCGTTCGAATGGACACCGACGCTCCAGCACTGAAAGTATTCAACTCGGAACCCGCTGGTGGCAGCAGAGGAAGAGGGAGGCCCCCACTGCGATGGAAAGATCAGGTGGAGAAGGACTTGGCTTCACTTGGCATTTCCAATTGGCGTCAGTTGGCACACAGGAAAAACGACTGGCGTGCTTTGCTGAAGTCGGCCAAAATCGCTTGGGCGGTTACAGCGCCAAAAAGAAGAAGAAGAAGTTTTACGATCGCGCTCTAGCCGGACTCCAAGTACTTCTTTGTGTTGGAATTAAAATGTTACAAATATTCTTAAATGGGGGAAAAAGGGCAAAGCCCGAACACAAAATTTTAAAGAGCATACTCTCAGTTTTCACCTAACATAAAAATCTTGAACAACACGAGACAATACATACAACTTTTACTCCACAAAACACAGGCAAATACAAAATTTGTACTTAAAAAATTTATTAACGAAACACCGCGCCATAAAGATATTTTCACAATTAACCACATTTTTTTTATTCAGTTAAAAAACAGAAACCTTTTTTGTAGTTTTCCATTGTAAATTTATAAAATTTTTACTTACAATCTTTTACACAGCTGTTCACAAGCTTAATTTTTGACACCTCATAAATAGACCAGGGTTGCCGTATCAAGTTAATTTTTGGTATTTTTTGGACCACTGAAATATCTCCATTATTACTGCGTATCTCTTTTTTTTAAATTAGTTGATTTTTTTTTTAATGTATGCCAAAAATATGAACTCCAGACCATAGTGCACTGTAAAGACTCTTTGTATATCATTTTCAATTTGTCTAGAAGAAATGATATTTAAGTTGCTTATTTTACGTACTCAGGTCTACCAGACTATGATTGCCAGCGAAAAACGGAAACCGCATATCTGCTATTATTGTCCCCTAACTTTCAAATTTTCCTTATATATATAAAAAAAATAGTACCTTGAAATGCCAGCTTAATAGTGTTGCCCCCCCCTAAATTTCATTCTGGCTACGCCGATGAGCATTTCCGTCCTCCTATTGTTTTGTGTGAGTTGTTGTGAAGCAAAGCCAGAATGTTCAGCCTCATTGCGAGTGTCATGTCCAGTGCAAGTCCGTTTTCGAGCGTCGAGTGGTAACGAAAATTACTTGGCATAGTCTAAAATTTCTGCTCGACCGTTTCCCAAGTTTAATGTTTCACTGGATACCTTGTTTTGGTGTGGCGCCTTAATAGATATAAGTAAATACAGACGTACAAAAAGCACATACTCTATTTAAACTTTAATTATACTCGTAAAAAACGAAATATATGTACATTGATAGTTTCGAAGAACGGCCTTCGTAATAGCTCAGCTTCACTGGGTTGACCGAAATTGTGCTCTATTAACAGTTTTACTTATACCTTTGAGCCTCATGCACAAAAAACACATACATATCTATGTAGTATAACTGAAATTTTCGAATTCACAAACCCATTCATTTTGTCGATTCGAATAAAATCACATGAAAAGTAACGTGCAAAGTTTTTGATTACTTCGGCGTCGTAACCATATTCTCCTTGGATTTAACCATCGCAGTCACACTTCGTTATCGACCGTTGACTCGAGTATGGCACAGAGTTTTATTTATAACTAACTTGCTCAGTGTCTATTGCTTTGTTTGACTCGCCGTCCGTGTTTCTACCAGTGCTTACCTCCTCAAATGCCAAGTAGTCTATTTGGATGCGTACGTGTGGAAAACTACGAAAAAGGATAACACTGAACTAATAGCACACAATCACAGATACACCTTTATACATATTCCAACTGTAAAACACTTGAATAACTTTGATTGAGCGTGTGTTTGCGTGTCTCGAATTGTCTGTTGGCTATTGCCAATCACGAGTGTTCAGCAATTCGCACTCACGTTTACCGTAGCTGTTGTTGTTGTTGGCGCTGGTAAATGCGAGAGGGTGCTCATCAGTTTGACTTTCACTTCGACTTTCACGATGCAATCGTCCTACCGTGCTGACCTCCTGTCGCAGTACTGGTTAAAAGTGCCAATATACGACTTCGATTTCTCATTAGTTTCACACTTTATGTTTGCTTTGTGCGCTTGTGTTATCCATTTTGCTTTTTCTGGCTATTGTGCTTCATTTACAGCACTCTTATCTAAATGCATTTGTGTGCCCGAGTGCGTTTCCGACTAGCCTGGCCAACTGGCTTGGCATCCTGATGTATGCGTGCGAATTTGTGCGTAACAATATGAAATTGATGATTTCGAATGCTTTGTCGACAGTTGATTTGGGTTATTATTGCTATTTTGATTCTCATCCTTTAGCCACTCAGTCAGTTGATATCCCAGTGAATATTGGTTTTATCGAGCACATTTAGTTTTTTTTTTTTTTAATTTCTTATAATAAAGCAAGAAGATTGCTCTTCTTTACCATTGAGTTGATAACATCAAATTTCAGTTTGTGTTTGCTTACAGCCACAATATTTTGAAGCGATTCCCGATTACATTTACGCACTGGCTTTAATCCTTTTATGCTAAGCTAAAGGGCGTTAGAGTTCTTGGCAAAAGTATCTAGTAAATATCGGTTTGTGTAAAGACGTTGGTGGTTTGTTTACCACTTTATCTGTGTGATAAATCCAAATGACAGCTATTAAAGTATAAATCACATATTCAGCCACCCCCAGAAAATCTCCTTTACTATGAGCAGCATTGCTAAATTCGTAAATATTTTTTAAGTTACTCAGTCTATTACACTAATATATAAGCGTATATACTACTTATGTAGATAGAGAACAAATTTTTAATGTTTATTTTATTCTCATTATCATATCACGTGCTACTACTTGACCGCTTTTTGTTTTAATTTGTCTGCCGCCTTTTATCGGGTTTTCCAAGACCAGAAGGCTAAATTTTGCCTCTGTTTCGTTGGGAAGTTCCAGTAGTTAATCACTGCAAGTGTATATACAGCCAGAGTCAAAAGTTAGTATACACATTGTTCTAATATAATATTTACATTATTTTCACGAAAGAATTCTTTCATTAATTTTTTATGAAAACGTAGTTAATTCTATAACGTAAACCAAGTAATCACAGTTTCACTCTTTTTATAAAATTCACAAAAATTTAAAAGAAATGCATAAAAATGTTGAACTTTTTATTCAGCATTTATATAAATTTACGACTGTGCAGTTTTATAGCCCATTAAATGTTTGGAGGGTGTTGTGGCTTTTTCTCCATATAATAATCGATTTTGATCATGCGTTATACGAGTATGTATGAAGAAAATGCGCGACACCATCTAAAAAATCAACGGTAAACTTAAGAGATTTCAAACTTGCACTTTGCTGTACTAAAATTAAATGGTCTTCAAAACTTCAAATTCGATTTTTGTCGCAGCCAGTGCAACTATTATACATACTTTTAAGCAAGCTCCTATTTTCTTCGAAACCCGTCGTACATACTTATGTATATGCAAACTGGGCCATGTAACTTGCGCGAACATTTTTATCTTTACTTGATATCGGCCATTTGAAAAATCCCGTCGCGTATTGTATTAGATGGTTTGTCACCCAAGTATATCAAACAGATAGCGGCAACTTCAATCTGAAATAATCTGCAGGAATGGTTAACCAGGTGTTTTTAACCTCACTCCTGCAGGAACTCGTAAAGAAAGTGTTTAACTGTTTTGTCGAGCGCTAGTTCTTGCAACTCCCGCAGAACTTGTTGAAAGGTATGCCGATCACTTTGGCATCTACATCTATGGGTCAGTGTCCCGAGCAGATAGCCGCGGATTTTTCAGGTATTTTACTTGCTCATTCTTAGCAAAGTTTGGTTTTGAAGTGGGTTGTATGTAAATTTCGGTAATCCTGCTTTTGGTTTACTTAAACGAGGCGCCCATGTCCATCGCATATGGGACGCTTTTAGTGTTCAACCGCAGGAGAGGAGTATGCCTGAGTTGTCGTTTGGAAAGGTTTGCGTGCTCCGGTAGATCAAGAAACTGCTCGTAATTACAAAAATTGGTCTGCGCTTGATCTCCATGCTCACATTATTGTTGAAGTCATCCATTATTTTAAATGATGCTGTTTTTCACATAGAGGGCTACAATCCCAGCTCACAATGGTAAATACTAAAAAAAATGCACTCTCTGAGGTTGCATTTGTTTCATGGCGATCACGTGGGGGCTTTCCGATCCCAAAATACAGCAGCTTTGACTAAAATATGATTTTTTGAACAAATTCGTTGTCCAGTTCGTTTACATTATTTTCCAACGTTGCTCAAACCTAAAGCGATTCATTTCATAAAAAAAGCACCTTTACTATGCACATCTTTAACATTTTCCTCAAATAATTTATGTTCATGTCTTCATTCATTTCCAGATCGCATGACCGGGAAAGCGGCGACTACGCAGGCTCAATATCGGATCTGCAAAGTGTCACTTCGCGTCTAAGTGCTGTGTCGGTAAGTAAAAGCAAATAATATAAAACTGAATAATTTCAAACTTCTAAGAACTAAATGAAAAGCTGAAATTAGCTTTGTGCCAAGAAAAACATGTCAAAGACAATTTGCAGCAAATGCGATAAAATAAAATAATAAAAGTATTGGTAGAACAACTAAAGGCAATGCAAACAGCAACGCGACCGTCAACCTGTGCACACTTTTTCATCATTTGCGTTAATAGCAAAAGAAAGTATCGAGTTGTCATCTGGTGCAACGCCAGGCGGCAATCAGCATCCAGTAGCCAACAGATGCTAAGCGACCAACGAGTGGTGGCAGCTGTTTCAATGTTGGCGGCCGCTAAATTGATTAAGTGCACTTTAACAACAAACTTTTGCTGCTGTTTTACCGTTTTGCAGTCAGCAAGTAATGATTTCTCCATTCATTCAGTTTGGCACAGCCGCTGCCGCATTTCGACTGCACGGCATCGCTGGGAGAGCAAAGCCAAAATCAAAACAAAACTAAAAAGCTGAAAGCAAAGCAATAAAATTTCAAACAGAAACTATACGTTTTTTTTCGAAAAGCTTTTAAAACAACTTTGCAAATTTGTTGCACTAGTGTAATTTTTGCCGCAGCGTCAACTGCCGCCACTACGATTGCGCTGTACTTTACTACTCATAAGTACATACATATTTATATTCTCTAAATATCTTTTTGTCAATTTGTTTTTCTTTGTCCGCTCTGGGCCAATAGCTGCGTGCCACAATCAGCCAACTCATTTATTACCATTTAAAAGTTGCTCATACGCCATGCGAGTCCGCTAACTTCTAAATTGTATGGATCTGGGCATTTTCACCTGCTATACAAATTTGAACAGCTGTGAAAAAATTGTTATTTAAAACTAGCACTAATTATTTAGTTTATTTTTTTTTTCATAAAAAAAATTGTTTTTTTGTACTTATATTTTTTCAATCACTTTTGACTGTTATAATGGGCAATGCGTTTCCATGACCTGTATAAATATTTCATGAACTAGGAAATTAAATCTGAAAACAAATGTTGTGGTAGAAATGACCGAAAAAACAAAAATTTAAAAATAGCAATTATTCTTGATTGCTAAAGTTAAGGTCATAAAATAGCGATTAAATTTGATCAAAAAAATCGAAATCCAATCGTAACGGTAGAATTATGATTTTTGTTTTAAAAACCAAAGCCTTTACGGTTTTTGCTTCTAAGAAATTTAGTTTACTCTGAGGATATCTATCGTTTCAACTGTTGAACTAGTGAATATGTAGGATCCATCCAAGTTACTCCAGCACATTTTATGCCTCCGTCCTTCGTGCAAAATGTGCGGCCAATCTAAATTTGCCACCAATTTACTAACCAAAGTGGACATTCTACCTCAACATCCTCCTCCACCACCAACCATGTTTAACTAGTTTTCACTATTTTGCCACTGATTTAAATTTTTCGTTTCATATTTATACGTTTTTGCAGATCGGCACCAACAATTGCACCGCCCGCTATCGTACTCTGAGCGGCGGCATCGGCGCGTCGCCATCGCTCTCGCCAAGCCCATCATCCGATTACGAGGATATTGCGGCAACGCGTGGTCTACCGCCCAGTCTGGCGGCGAAGAGTAAAAAGAACGGCATTCCGCACAAAGCCAACACCATCAGCCAGAAGGCCACAGTGCATCATGTAAGTTAATTACCATTAGAAACGTTGAACGACCAGCATGCAGCCTGCAGCTGAGTGAATGAATGTTAGTGTGCGTTTGTATGTGTTCAACAAATAGAAAATTTGCAATTTGCCGTTGTAAATCTCATGAAAATCAAAAAGTTTGCTCTCCAAATGCAAATGATGTGTTGAAATGTGTAAATGGGAACCGAATAATCGAGTAATAATGCACACAAGGAATGTGAGCGCATTTGTTAGATCCTAGAGTGAGTTTGTGTGCGGCCTCGTACTTTTTGCATGAAAATTATAGAATCGAATTGAAACTAGCAGCGGCCTCTGTCCAGTCACCAGCGTATTTGTAAGCCGGCAACTTAAGCAAATGGCTCAGAGGTTGGCAACCAAACAGCCAAGTGCCTACACAACTAGCCTGCAAAGCCGGGGTGCGACTAGTCACCCATTTCAGTTACACAACTTTGTCAGCTACTTGTTGTTGTTACTTTAGTTTTGCATTTTTGTGTTTACATTTGCAATCCGATTTTGTATCTACATAAATCGTTGGTAAGTTAATTCTGTTTGTACGCATGCTTCTCTGTGTGTGAGTGTGTAGGCAACTCTTTTTAATCGCATTATAGAAACTTTTCCACTACTTGCCATCATTTCTGCATTGACCAAGGCTGAATTAGTTTAGCTTTGTTCCATTTTGATTGGTATTCGAAATCGTAAATGTTCCTGTGGTTCAAATATCTGACCCCAATTGTTTGAGGCTTTTTAAATTACATATTTGGGCTATATTCATATAAACTACGGCTCTGGTCAACTTTGTGAGAAAATTATTGCAAATTTTAAAAGCATTTTGTAAGAAGTGTACCCGCAATGCAATCACTACCATATTAAGGTTTAACCATGAAACGAATTCATATGCAGAAACAGTCATTTCGTGATTCCTCTTAAAAATGCTACGTTGTCTATTTTTGGCATAATTTAAGGTAGATATGCGCCGTACATTTTATTGGATTATTGCATGCGTTATGCATTTCGTTTTGTAATTAAGAAGTATACATTTTCTTTGGTAAGTTTAAGTGGAGAAACTGACAGCAACTAAATAGAAGATTGTCAATTAAATGGTCTTGTATGATGCCAATTTTATAAGTCTTAATTCGAACCCTTTTATTGTGACTTTTTTTACCGGAATAACCATTTGCCTCTTATATGATAGATAAGGTACTTCGGGAAAATCTCAAGGTTTGAAATTACACAAAAAAAGCCAAAACACGTGAACTTAACATTGGGTCGTAAATTATGGATCTGTATACTGTTTTTCCAGATTAGGTAATTTTCGCAAGATATTTTCTTTTTTTATTAAAAAAAAAATGCAAACTTCAACAAGAAAAAAATTAAAATATATCAAATATTTTCTAGTTTCTTTAGTTTGCTTAAAATCACCTCCTTTTTACAAAAAATCACTAGCTAACGATGTAAATGGATGAATAAATAAACTAAACTAAAATGTTTAAATGAAAATATGAAATATTTTTTGTATGAAGTAGGGCCAGGGGCCTATTTCATTGAAGTGACAGGTGCGACAATTGGCGATTTTTCTATAAAATTTCACTGCCACAATTGTCGGCGACTTTTTTCCTGTTTCATATACGTTTGTAGGCAACTGTGAAAATTTTTGTAAAACGACAGTGATAATATGGAATATTGTCGACAATTCTGCTGACAATTGTCACTCTGACAAAATTGTTGCGACAATAGCGACGAAACCAAATAGCTCCGTCGCAAAGCGTTCACAGGAGAGTTTTGTAAATGTATTTATATGGTAATTGTGCGCATTTCATTACTATTCAATAGTTTTAATATTTCTTAAAACTAAAATAATACAATGCAATTATTACATATGATTTTCATATACATTTTATATGACTTGCGACAATTTTGTTAACTACAATTTTGAACCCTGACAATGACTGTCACATAAGTTATCTTACTTATGAACATTCATCAATAAATCAGTTGCATTCCTACAGTCGACAAGAGCACAAGTCTTTTGCATACTCTCAGCATTGTTGTGACATGGTGTCAGAAATGCTGTAAATCGCACTCACGTCTGGAAATTATCCGTTACATACACAAAGAAGAAAAAAAAAAAAAAACACATACAAAACCGGTGACTTAGCACAAACTTAGTTTGGTTTAGCCGACAAGAAAAAAAAAAAAAAAAAAACTAAAATTAAAATTAAAAAATCGAGCGATTAAGAAAAAAGTGATCTATGCGCTAGTAATCTGTAACGAAAGTTGAACTCATAAAATGGCTAGCATTAAACCACCAAAGCCGTTGCTCGTCAACAACGATATAGACATGGCAAGCGAATGGTCCGATTGGATAGATGAGTACAATAACTATTTCATTGCCGCGAAAATAAACGCGGAAACGGCAGAAGTGCAAGTGGCAAACTTGCGAGCATCGTTAGGCAGAGATGCTAACAAAGTCTTAAAAAATTTGGGCTTAAGCAGTGAACAATTAAAAAATATAGAACACATTAAGAGAAAGTTAACCGAACATTTTGCGCCGCCTAAAAATAAAACGTACGAAAGATGCCAATTTCATCGCATCAAGCAGCAACCGAATGAATCATTCGAAGATTTTCTACAAAAACTCAGAGAGCAAGTAAGACATTGCTCCTACGGGGAAAATATGGATGAATTTATAATGGACCAAATAGTGCTAGGTATTTGTTCAGATGCCACGCGACAAAAGTTGTGGATCGAAGAAAATTTGACATTAGAAAAAACAAAAAAAAATTTGCAGAGCTGCTGAGAGGGCGGGAAAACAAATATCAGAGCTTAGTAATGAAGCCAGCATCAACGCAATAAATGTTCGCGGAGACCGCGAGAAAGTCTTCCAGTGCAGTCGTTGCGGTTTGGAACATGGGCTTCGTTGTTGTCCGGCATTCGGAAAAGAGTGTCGTGCGTGTGGCTACAAAGGTCACTTTGAAAAAATGTGCAAAGCCAGAAATGAAAAAAAGAACAGGAATGGTAACAGAAACGTAAAAAAAGGTAAAGGCGCGAAATCTAAGAGAGTTCACGTACTACAACAAATGGATGATAGCGAAAGCTATGAAACGGAGAGCGAATGTGGAGATTTTAAATACGTGAATGCTATACACACCTATAGGGAAAATAAACAATGCTACGGAAAATGGCATGCAATGGTTAAAGTTGGGTCGCATACGCTTAACCTTAAACTAGATACCGGTGCAGATTGTAATGTGCTTCCATTAAAAGAAGCAAAACGGTTAAGTGCTAAAATTGTAAACTCGGGCACAAAGCGGCTTGTTGCATATAATGAACAAACAATAAATGTAATCGGTGAAACAACATTACACTGTAAAGCACCGAAAAATAGTGCACGTGTCGTGTTTAAAATCGTGCGCGAAAATCTTCAACCTATACTGGGTCGCGAATGGTGTGAACAACTCGGTTTCATTGTACGTGTTAACGAATTAAAAAGCAACCATACACAAGTGGTTAGCAAAAACTCACAGACCTTAGGGTGTTGCAAAGACTTTAAGTACGACATTGATTTTATAGAGAATCCTAAGTTTAAGATTATTCCGGCCAGGAGAATTCCATATTCTTTGCGCGATGACGTAAAAAAAGAACTTAACAATATGGTAAAATTGAAAGTAATCGAACCAATAAGCGAACCAACACCTTCCGTCAGCCCAATGGTGATTGTAAAAAAGGGCACTAAAATCCGTATTTGTATGGATCCAACCGAGCTAAATAAAAATATTAAGCGCAGGCACTTCCCTTTAAAAACGGTGGAAGAAATAGCATCCAGAATTGCGGGCAGCAAATATTTCACAAAGCTTGACTGCCAAAAGGGGTTTTGGCAGTTAAAAGTGACAGACAGAACATCAAAATATCTTACATTCGCTACGCCATGGGGTCGTTTTAGATATTTACGCTTGCCATTTGGGATATCGTCGGCACCTGAAGTGTTTTCTGAAGTAATGAGTCGAACGTTAGAAAATATACCAAACTGCGAGGTAGCAATGGACGACATTTTTCTGCATGCACCAACAGAAACTGAACTTCGAAGGCTCACAAAAACGGTCACCGATCGTCTACATAAATCTGGTTTTACGCTAAATAACGATAAATGTGATTACAACAAAAAATTCATGAAATTCTTAGGACACATCTTCACTGAGAGTGGATATAAAGCAGACAGCGATAAAATTGATGCCATCACGCGTCTCAAAGCACCAAAAAACGTCAAGGAGTTGCAGCGCGTATTAGGTATGTTAAATTACCTCGGAAAATTTATTAAAAGTTTGTCTGAGCTTACAGATCCCCTTAGAAGCTTACTACTCAAAGACAATGCTTGGTTCTGGGGTCCTGAACAGGAAAAAGCTTTTAATGCAATTAAAAAAGCCTTAACAACAACACCAGTGCTCGCATATTACCATGCTAACAAGCCAGTGAAATTATCTGTTGACGCTAGTAGTAAATCAATGGGGGCATGTTTGATGCAAGACGATCAGCCAGTCGCATACGCCACGCGTTCCTTTACTAAGTCACAGCAGAATCACCCACAACTTGTAAAAGAAGCAATGGCGATTCGATTTGCCTGCAATAAATTCCATGAGTATGTTTATGGTAAAGACTTAGTAATCGAAACTGACCATAAGCCACTCGAAACTATTTTCAAAAAAGCTTTGCATAACGCACCTTTACGACTACAAAGAATCTTATGGGACATAATTCAATATGCACCGAAAGTAATTTACGTAAAAGGTTGTAAGATACCAATCGCTGACACACTTAGTCGCGACTGCGAGCCAAACGAGGTTGAGGAAGAAGAAGAATATCAAGTCAACGTCACAATATCCAATTCCATGGATGAGCATCTCTATAAGCTTTTCGTCGATGAAACAGAAAAAGATTCGGAGCTACAAATGCTTAAAACTGTCGTTCTTAACGGTTGGCCAGAAACCGGTCAAAAATTACCG